CATTTTGTAAGAGAAGGACTTTTCAAGGGCCCATTAATTTCCATAAGTCAAAACCACATTCATGACTAACGAAATTAATAGTCGGTCTCCATTTGGCCATGCAATAAATCCAGGGACCCCGTGGGGAGTTTATAGATAAGTCGCATTCTAAGTGAATCCCATTTCTCGATTCTGAGGTTGTCAAAATTGATTACACGTCCCCCGTGGGGAGGCCCGTGCGTTCTCTTAAGATTCCCTCTAACCGTCTAATTTTAGAAATTTGTCCTGGTAATTTCCTACAACCAATTTTAGCAATGTCACCCGTGGGGGAGCCCATTGCCGCAATTAATTGATTTACCGACAAATTAGAAATGGAGGCCTTAGGAATTTTACAATTAACTTTAATTTAAAATCCCTTCTCAAACTTAGTATAATTTAATGAGGATTTTTAACTATTTATACAATTCCAAATTAATCTATGTTAATGCAATAATTAATTAACATGCATATTAATTCATGCAATTCTAAATTAATCTATGTCAATGCAATAATTAATTAACATGTTCAATAATTTATGCAATTCTAAATTAATCCATGCCAGAACATAATTAATTACATGCATAATTTATTGACACAATTCTAAATTAATCCTATGCATCACATAATTAATTAACATGCATAATTAATCTTGCAATACTAAATTAATCCCATGCAAGAACATAATTAATTAACATGCATAAATAATAATTTAATGGCATAATAAATTTAATTAAATAAATAAATAAATCCACTATTATGGCCATTAAATATTGAGTCTCCTTAAACAAGGAAACTGTGACAGTTCTTTTCCCTGTTCAACTGGAACTCCTTTAAGCAGTAGAATCCTGGTTGATCTTGTACTGCTTGGACAACAAGGCAAAAACACCAGCTACCAGCCGCCACCTGCCGCCGCCACCAGCCACCGCCGGTTCGCCGGCCGCCGCCACCAGTTCGCCGGAAAAACGCCGATTTTTTTTTTTTTTTTTTAATTCTTCGAGCCTCGTTGATCTCTTGTGATCTCCCGGTTATCAACACACGATCACAACACGAAAAATATAATTTACAAAATTACATAATTCGATCCTAGATCCAACGAATGGATGTACATGTTTTCTAAACAAATAATTAAATCTATCCGGTCCACCCCCGGACGAATAATTATTACAAACATTCATCCATAAATTCCTCGACATGCCCGAGGCTTTTAAAACAAATTTAAAACCATACATCACATTCAACAACATTCATCAAACACATAATCGGCCATAATAGTGGATTAACTATTTTCCTGCAAAACCGAGTTATGCAAATATAATCCAATATATGGCTGCGTTTGAACACATCTTGTCAAATAAAGCCGTAAAAATTCGAACTTTGTACAAAACGAATTAACCAAGTTCTCTGATACCACTTGTTGGGATCTGTGAGAATCTCGTTATGTACAAGTCACGAATTCAATAGCAAACGTAAACCTATGCGCAGCGGATCTAAAGGTTTGACGTAGAGAACTTACGGCTTAAAATTTATGTAGATCTGGTTGACCACGAACGGTTGACCGCAATTGATTGACCGCAACACGCGTCTTGGGTCGCACGAACAAGATCAGATCAAAACTGGATCAAACGGATGCAAACAGATCAAAACGAAATTTTTGCTGCCAGACACCTTCCGGCGGCGCGTGAGGGCGCGTGCGGCGTCGGATTCCGGCGACGTCGGCGGCGATGGAAAGCACTCGTCGAGACAGTCGTCTGGGTATACTGTACGTCTCAATCGGACTTCCGGTTAGTTCTGTAGGTCAAAATCTATTTCGTCTCGGTTTACCTACAGATCTTCTACTGTATTACTCAATACACCCTTCTTCAACTTGTACCAGTGGAGCAACAAGAAGAAGATAAAGCTCGAATGAGATCTAGAGAGAGAGGCGTGTTTCACGTGAGAATGAGACTTCTGTTCTCTTCTCATGAGCTTAATGATGTATATATTGAGCTACAGTAGGGACCCTAAGGAGATTAGGAAAAGGGCTCCTTAATTAATTAGACTAACTGTGGGCCAAACCCACTCCTCTAATTAATTAAATAATATTAATGGGCCATCAACATTATATTATTGCACTCCCTTTTCCTAGCCCAAATTACATTTGAGACTCCAATAATAATTACTCGATTTACCTCCCCACGTTTAAGATATAATGTCCATTAATTAATTCGATTACTGACAATCAAGAATTAATTAATTTATTATTATTTCACCGAAGCTAGCGCTCGTTCATCACATTCTTATTATGCCGGAATTTAATCCACCTGCAGGGTTTAGCATAACAATCCTTCATGAACTCACTCCGGGGACATCATCAAACTAACGCACATGGTGACCGTAAATATCCTAACAGCACATCCTATATATAATAATATTACCCAAAACAGTAGGAATATTAATCCAGCGAACTGAACCTCACCCATGTGAATCAAAGTAATATATATTATATATATCTGCCTGTTTAATATCTTACGGGTTAAGAGAACGCAGTAATTAACCGAGGCCTAGTTCATTTACGACGATCAGTATAAAATGAACTTCTCCTCTCTGGGATCCTGTTCAATACATAAATGTACTAGTGCAACTAATCAGTCAAGACAAACTGTACAGTTGACACTACAACCGTTCGGATGGGGTGTTCATGTCCATCTAGGTTGTGAACAACTATTCTTGTTCGCAAGTGACTGATAGAGTGATCTTCGGTTCGCCCGATGACGACCCACCCTATCTAAGTGCAGAACAACAGAACGTAGAACTTGTTTAATCTAACATGATTCTCATTCATAAAGGGTAAATGTGTAATAACATGCAAAACCAAGCTTTCAGTATATAACACTAACAGGTATCCCGTTCGGAGAGTGTCCGGTAAGATGTGCCGTGGACGTCATGTTTGGGCCTGCCACCACAACACTGTCTTCTTGCACGTACATGACGTCCGGTTCAGAATTTTCGGCCGCAAGAGTGGTAGCTCTGGCGAGTTGGTTGGTCGGATGAGGTGAGTTTGGTCGGGGTCCGAGAATTCCGGCCGAGATAGCCGAATCCGTGAGCATCCCTTGTGTAGAACGAGCCGTCTAGATTTTTCTGGTGACCGAGGTGGTTCCGGCGCCGGCGAGGGGCAGATGGTCGGCGGCTGTCTGGCGGAAATTGGGAGCAGCGAGCTGAAGGTGATTGGCGGACTTTGGGTTGCTCTGGTTGGTGTCGTGCTGGTTCTGGTACGAGGGTTGTGAGGCGAGCTGAAAAGAGGTGTGTGTGTGATATGGGCTTTAAGCTGAGGTAGTGAGAGCTGGGAAGGGCCGGCCTGATAAGAGTTATGGGCTGGGGTTAGTTGTGTTGTGTGGTTATGGATATGGGTGGGGAGTAGGTTGGAAGATTTAGGCCCAGAAAGAATGTGGGAAGTATTGGGCGTCGGAATGGGAATGGGCCCAGATTGGGAAACTTCTTGCTTTTCCACCTGACAAGACGGGGTAGGAGCCACATCACCGCGCAGCTGGGGGTTAGGGTTCACTGTAGCATCTTCTTCACGGGATGAGCTTGGGATGATCGGTGAGAACATATCCGACGTCCACGTTCCAAAACTTACCGACCGCGGATCTGGAATTTCTCCATCAGAATAACTCGGATTTTTTGCCGCAAAGGGTTGAATATTCCCGACCTCCAAACGCGAATTTCCGCCCATCAACACCGCGATAATTTGTTGGACTTCTAGGTGATTAAAAAGGTTGAGGATTTCCGGCAAAAGGCTGGCTGGAGCTTAGGGGATAGGTGGCGAGACTGACGGAAGAGGGAGGCAGCGATCTAAAAAAAGAAAGGGGGTAAGAAAGAAAAGAGAAAAGGCCCGGGGAGGCCGCCGGCGACGGCGGCTGGTGGGGGCGGCTAGGCGAGGCTAGTGGCTCAGCAACTAGGGAGGTGGTGTAGGTCGGAAATGGGTAGGAAAATTGCTAGAGAGAGAAAGCTAGAGAGATGTGAGAGCATTTACTTTTCTGTGTTTTGTTGCAGTCTGATGCTGCTAGGTTAGTTGTATTTTGTTGCTAGGTTATTTCTTTCTTACTGCTAGGTTAGTTGTCAACGGGTCAACGTCGGAGTCAACGCTGGAAGTCAACGATTTTAACCGGAAGTGAACAATTTTTGCTAGAAGTCAATGGTCAACGCCGGAGTCAACTAATAATTATTTTATTATTTAATTAATATATATTTTAATTGATTTTGATCTAGACAAAATGAGTGGCTAAGATTGAGTCTCATGTACTCATTTTAAGGAGTGGTCTCATTGATATATATATATATATATATATATATATATATATATATTGTTTGTTTTTTAATATGAGTTCATTTGACACTGTTATAATCAAAATCCAATTAACATGGGCTGTAATATGTGTCTAATATCACTTTAAATTATTATAGATACTGAGCGAAAAAAAATCATCTAGAACATCTTATGTGTTCGAGTTGCCATTAGATAAAAATTTGATGTCCTTATTTGTTAAATTTCCGAAGTTGATGTTTTTCTACTAACAAAAAAAAGGTCATAATTTTTTTTTTTTCTTTTTTTCTTCTTGCAATCAACTGTCGTTGCATCTCAGTCAGCAAACGATCCACCTCGTCATCTTAAGTTGCTAGCTAGACTAGCCAAAAAGTGGGCTTGTCTTGATTTGCCAAACTGGAACATGGTCGGAATTTGTTAGTAATTATTTAAATATTTGAATTAAATTGCTAAACCGCAAAATGTGGCGCTTTATTTTGCAATCAGGCCTAAGAATAATGCGTGGTTGATTAGCTTGTAAGCAAAACCCCCCAATAGCGACACTCCATTTTTTTCACTAGCTTAAAGAGAGGAAAACAAAGATACAATATGAAAACCAAAGATCGGGCATGACAAGTTAAAAGTTGAGAAAGCTGCATCATCATATAATAATAGTAATTATTAAGGAGAGCCCTATCACCATTTCAATTCCACCTATCCATCGCTTCCTCATCTTTCCTCCATTACTTTCACCCGCATTTGTGGCCGTCCTCGCATTCTCACTACTTGAGTTCGCTTTATTTTCAATACGTACATAGGAAGAAAAAAAAAACTCGTCAGTCATTTTTTATTTAAATTATTGTGAGGGAAAAAGAAGGAACCAACCGACGATTAAATTCACTACAACCTTGAGTTGAGAAAAACAGTAGTACTAATTAGAAAGTAAAAAGTATATTTGAACTTTATTTAAAAGCAGAAGCAACTAATAAGGCAAAAATTTAATTTTGGTCCGTTTACTTGTTTAAAGTTCTTTTTTGGTACAGTAACTTTATCCTCATACGTTATGTTATGTTACAATTTATATCACTATTGGTACATTTATCCCAAAAATGGTTCATTATTTTTGGGACTATTGTCCCAAAAATGATACAAAATGCAATATAACGTACTATGTTTTATAAACGGGAAGTTAGTATACCAAAAAATGACTTTAGACAAGTAAACAGACCAAAGTTAAATTTTTTCCCGACCATTAAATTAAATTAAACTGAATGCTATGAGGTCATAAATTATCAATAATAGCACTCATTTGTCATTACTACTTCCG